CCCCACTCACGACAGAGCGGGCTGAGAACTCAGGGTCCGGTCAGAGGGCCAAGCTGACCTGACTTCCTTCCTGCAGCTCCCACCGACTGTGCCACCCAGCACGTGAGCATGCCACCACACACTGGCCTCCATCCTCCCACAAGGCCACCATGCTTCATGGACAAAGGGTTTCACACTTGTTATCTGCCTCCAAGCTCACAAAGAAACAGGGAAGGTGCAGCCAGGCATAGTGGTTCACACTTATAATTTCACCACTTTGGGAGGCCGAGACGGGTGGATCACCTAAGGTCAGGAGTTCGAGACCAGCCTGGCCAACATGGTGAGAAAAAAACCCTGTCTCTACTAAAAATACAAAAAATTAGCGGGGCATGGTGGTGGGCACCTGTAATCCCAGCAACTCGGGAAGCTGAGGCAGGAGAATTCTTGAACCTGGAAGGCAGAGGCTGCAGTGAGCCGAGATCACACCACTGCACTAAAGCTTGGTTGACAGAGTGAGACTCCATCACAAAACAAAAGAACAGGGAAGGTGGGATCTTCTCCCTGTTTGGCATATGGGGAAATCAAGGCCCCAAGAGAGGAAATGGAGGGGAGGGTGTTGCCTGCCTGTGTCCTCTGACTCCTAAACAGCACTAGGCAAAGAGCTGGCCACACGGCAGGTGATCAATCTGTAGGTGAGAAAACACTGAATGAACGCAGGGGTCACGTCAGCTCCCATCCCAGCCTCTGGACCTCCAAGGCAGCATCCCAGCAAAATGTCCCCCAAATGTTCCCTCTGACTCTGGCTCCCACCACCCTCTTTCCTAAGTTAGTGGAGAGTGGGAAAGGGCTTGATCCCAGCCCCTCATGCCCATCAGCGCCCACTGCTGCCCCCATCAGCGCCCACTGCTGCCCCGCACCCACAGGGCACCAGACGCCTCACCAGTGTCTCAGGTGAATTGCCACATTTAACCCTCCAAACACCAGTAAGAAAAGGGCCAGTTCTCCCAGGAAACTAGGGCACGGGTTACACAATTTGCCAGGGTCTGAACCCAATTAGCTGGAATCCGGAGTATCCAGCTCTTAATCCTCAAACTGCCTTCAGGAGGAAGCTGAATGGCAATCAGCTGAGCGAGGCTTGCTCTACAGCCTCTCAGATTCCAAAAGTCAAGGCCCTCGTTGCAAAATGCACTGCAGCTCACGTGAACCAGAGCAAAATGCCCTTTCACAAAAGGAAAAACGTCTCTTTCACTCTGCTTGGCTGGACCACAGCCGGAGGCAAAGTGCCCCGAAACTGTCACTGGAGCTCCCATGCACGTGAGACAGGGGTGACTTTAAGAGATCTTTGGGCTGGTGGCATGGTACAGTGTGGCCCGTGTTATGACGCACTCCACAGATATTTACTGAGATGGATTATTCGAAGGTCATTGTTCTAACCGCTGTAATCCCAGCACTTTGGGAGGCTGAGGCAGGAGGATCACTTGAGCTCAGGACTTTCAGACCAGCCTGGGTCATATAGTGAGACCTCATCTCTACAAAAAATTAAAAAATCACCCGGGCATGGCGTCTCATGCCTGCACGTCCCAGCTACTAAGGTGGCTGAGGTGGGAGGATTGCTTAAATCCAGGAGGTCCAGGCTGCAGTGAGCTGTGATTATGCCACCGCAATCCAGCATGGGCGACAGAGTGAGACCCTGTCTTAAAACAAAACAAGCCCAGGTGGAGTGGCTCACACCTGTAATCCCAGGACCTTGGGAGGCTGAGGCGGGTGGATGACTTGAGGTCAGGAGTTCAAGATCAGCCTGGCCAACACAGGGAAACCCCATGTCTACCAGAAAATACAAAAATTAGCAGGACGTGGTGGTATGTGCCTGCAATTTCAGGTTCCTGAGAGGCTGAGATGGAAGAATCATTTGAACCTGGGAGGCGGAGGTTGCAGTGAGCCGAGATTGCACCACTGCACTCCAGCCTGGGCAACATAGCAAGACCCTGTCTTCAAACCAAAACACACAACCACCAAAAAAAAAAAAAAAAATCCACAAGATCCCTGACCTCCTGGAACTTCTATTTCAGACAGAGCTACTAATAATAAAGATTAACAGGCAAAACGTAGACAAAGGTTTTAGATCCCAATTATCTATTGAGGAGAAAAACCTGAGGATGGGAAAAGGCAGTGCTGAGGTGGAGAGCAAAACCTCAGACAGGGCTATGAGCAAAATCTTCGCCAAGAAACTGACCTTAAATACCTGAAGGAGAGAGAGGAAAACGATATGATTATCTAGGCGGAGAGCTTTTTAGGCAGAGGAAAGAGCAAGGACATAGGCCCTGGGGCTGGAACATGTATAGCGAGTTCCAGGAAAAGCCATGAAGCCAGTGAGATCAGAGAGGCAACAGGGGTCAGGCATGTGCCACGAGCGGAGAGGCCACTGCAGGTCTCTTTGTTCCAAAGAGACCACTTTTTTTTTTTGAGACAGTCTCACCCTTGTTGCCCAGGCTGGAGTGCAATGGCACGATCTCGGCTCACCGCAACCTCCACCTCCCAGGTTCAAGTGATTCTCCTGTCTCAGCCTCCCGAGTAGATGGGATTACAGGCATGTATCACCACACCTGGCTAATTTTGTATCTTTAGTAGAGACAGGGTTTCCCCATGTTGGTCAGGCTGGTCTTGAACTCCTGACCCCAGGTGATCTGCCCGCCTCGGCCTCCCAAAGTGCTGGGATTACAGGCTTGAACCACCGTGCCGGGCCCAAGACAACATTTTAACAAGACTGCACTGGCTGGGTGTGGGGTAAGAAACAGAGAGGCATCACGGATAATCTCATGGCTTTGACTCGAGCAACTGAATGAATAATACTCCCATTTCCTAAGATGAGAAAGCGAGTGGGAGGAATATAAATAAATAAATACTTTAAGTTGGAAGTGCCTACGTTTGAGATGCTGAGTAAGCAACTAGATATTGGAGTCTGTCATTCCAGGGAAAGGCTGGGACTGGACTAGGATATAAATCTGTGGGTTGACAGAATAGAGACGGCACTTAAAGCCACGAGACTGGATGAGATCACCATCCGAAAATGAGAAGAGACATGTGAGACCTGACCCTGTGAATAGCCACTGTGAAAGACACAGAGCATGTTCTCCCAAGGAGCCGCCCTCTACTGAGTGAAGTTTTTTGTTTGTTTGAGACAGAGTCTCACTGTCACCCAGACTGGAGTGCAATGGCATGATCTCGGCTCAATGAAACCTCCTGCCAGGTTCAAGCAATTCTCCTGCCTCAGCCACCCAAGTAGCCGGGATTACAGGTGCAGGCCAGCACACCTGGCTAATTTTTTGTGTTTTAGTAGAGACAGAGTTTCACCCTGTTGCCCAGGCTGGTCTCGAACTTCTGAGCTCAGGAAATCCACCCGACTCAGCCTCCCAAAGTGCTGGGATTACAGGCATGTACAGGCCACCACACCTGGCCCGAAGTGTAGCTTATAGCACACTCTTCACTAAAGCCCTTGCCCCTTGCCCACCTATTTCCCCAGCGCAGACCCAACAGATGTGTGCAGACACACACACACACTGTTTAAACTCCTCCTTTCTGTATCTCCTAGTGATGTCATTCTGCTGAGTAAGAGGAAAACTCCCTTTTGGGGTTGCTGTCATGTAACAAGAAAGTAACCCACGGGAGGGAGGAAAAGCGTCCTAAGCACTGAGACCACAGCAGCAAACTTCACACATCAGGGTGATCACACAGGCTCTGGTGCCAGATTCCAGCCTCAACCTCATCAGTGTGACCTCAGGCAACTCATTCACCCTCTTTTACTCATGTGAAGTGAGAATAACACTGACTACGCTAAGAGTAGCCTGGAACAGCAGACAGTCCATAAATACTTGTTGGACAAATGATGAGTGAATGAATGCTACAGATAACACATACAGAAGAGCCTGACTCGCTGGGAGTGATCAACAAACACTGCCAAATGAAGCACTGAAAGACAAGGGACCTCCTGCTCACCCTTCTCCCCTTGTCTTCTCATTCTATCCCTTTCCCTTTCCAGTCTTCTCAATCCTGCCTATGACCCAACAGTAAAATCATACATTTGTACAGGGCCATACTGGTTACAAAGATTTGCCTTCTACATTTTCTCATTCAAATTGTGAACCTCATGGCAGCCTTATGAGGGCAGGAAGTACAGTCCCCCGTCACAGATGAGGAAACTGAGACTTGGACGGAAAACAGCTTCCAAACTCCAGGCAGAGACAGTAACAAAAACAATGCATTCAAACACAGTGCATTCAGCCCAAGGGTGGAGGCTCAATGTTGCCAAACCAAACCTGCCTGACATCCTGCTGGGTGGGTAAGAGGCAGGTGAGGGAAAGACCCAGAAGCTAGGGGAGGTATTTGTTTGGGGTCATGTGGGTAGCCCATTAAACCTATGGCCACAGATCCCCTTGCCCTCCCGGTCCCACACCCAAAGGCTTGCCCCTAGCCCCGTCACATGATCACCCGGATCACATGCTCCCCGTCACCAGCTTCCAAGTCATCTGTGGAAGCAGGAGGTGGACAAAGGATTGGGAGTGGGAGACTCTGGGGTGGCCAAGCTGAGGGGAAGGAGGGAGCATGTCGGGGGCAGATCTGGAGGCACGCGAGAGAGGAAGGGCAGGGAGGAAAGGCAGGAGAAGCGGGGAGTGAGAAATGGGTACAGAGGCACCACGAGGTGGAATGCAGAAGGAGGCGGAGGTGAAGTGGGAAGTCAAGTGAGTACTTAGAGGAGCACAGGAAGGAAATGAGGACCACCAGAGGGCCCAAAGAGGCACTGAGAGGCGGGGAAAGACGGGACGTTAGGGATACTGAGGGAGACACACGGAGGAGACCAGGGTACAGGGGAGGAACTCAGGGTCGAAGCTCGGGTCCCTGGGGTCCACAAGTTCAAGATGAGACAAGGGCGGTCTCGGGATGGGAGTTGGGGACGCTGGGGGGGGATGAAAAGATGGAAGCTGGTGACACTTAGGGAGTCACATAAGGGTCAATGGAGGACATGCCTCAGAATCGGCGACACGAGGAGGGCCCGGCGATCCAAAGGAGGGCCCGGCGGAGACGTCGGTGTCCGGGGCGCCGAGGAGGTTGGGGAAGGGAACCCAGGCCCCGCCCACCTGCGAGGTCACTCACCTCGGCTTACTCAGCGCTTCTACTTCCTCCTACTTCCGCAAACAAATAAGCCTCGGGCCACGTGATGGCCTGACCGCCGCTCTCCGCCAATCACTGGTGGCCCTGCCCCAGGCCTCCGCTAGGCTCCGCCCCCGCGCCCGAGAACGGCGGGAGGCGGGGTCCGCCATTTTTTTTTAACTGCCCAATGGAAAGGGCTCCCTTAGCCGAGGGAGGACGAGCTTTCGGCAGGAACCAATCCTCGGCGGCGAGGCGCGGCCATGTCTGTGCGGGGCGGAAGATGCCCGTGGCGGCTCCTTGGCAGTCATGTTGATAAGGGGCAGGAGTCTCACCTGAGTCCGCCTTCCGCCTCTTAAAGCGGCGACAGCCTGGAGTCTGAAGTTATTACTAATGATTGCTCGTAAAGATAAAAATAAAGGCAACAGAGGCATAGGGCATAACAAGGAGGAACCTGTTTTGATTTTGCCAGGTAGCCTCAAGCCAGGGTTTCCAGATGTAGCATATAAAAAATACAAGCTGTTCAGTTAAATTTGAATTTCAGCTAAATAGACAATAGTTTTTTTTCCTATAGAACAGGAATTGATCAGAGCTTTTCTATTTTCACAACTGAGGCCAAACTCTCTAGGAAATTACCACATATGTCTCTTTTTATTTCTTTTTGAGAAAGTCTCGCTCTGTCTCCCAGGCTGGAGTACAATGGCATGATCTCAGCTCACTGCAACCTCCACCTCCTAGATTCAAGTGATTCTCCTGCCTCGGCCTCACAAGTAGCTGGGCTTACAGGCATGCCCCACCACAGCCAGCTAATTTTTGTATTTTTAGTAGAGACAGGGTTTCACCATGTTGGCCAGGCTGATCTTGAACTCCTGACCTCAGTGATCTGCCCATCTCGGCCTCCCAAAGTGCTAGGATTACGGGTATGAGCCACCACGCGGGCTGCTAAATGTTTAATGTAAGCAAAATATACTAAGTTTAGTATCATGCTAGAAATATGTGCATTGTTGTCTGGCAACCCCTCCTGAGCCAATCTCAGGAAATACCTTAGCACTCTCAGTAGGAACTTGGGCAAATGATCTTTGTGAACCTCAGACCCATCATCCAAGAAGTGGGCACAAGGGTGTCGTGACATCTAGAAGTAAATTAGTCCCCATTCGTGCACATGGTGGGATTTCAATAAATGGCAGTTGTTAGGGTTAATAATGCCGATAATGACGTATGTTGGAGAGAAGCCAGGAGGCTGGACTTTAGTCACACATCTGCATGGGACCGGCCAGGTCATGTCCTCTCTTTAGCCCATCAGCTTGGTTGCACCTTTTCTTTCCCTAATAATCCCCCAACCCGACCGGGCGGTGGCTCACACCTGAAATCCCACCACTCTGGGAGACTGAAGCGGGCAGATCACGAGGTCAGAAGATCGAGACCATCCTGGCTAACATGGTGAAACTCCATCTCTACTAAAAATACAAAAAATCAGCCGGGCGTGGTGGCATGTGCCTGTAGTCCCAGCTACTTGGGAAGCTGAGGCAGAAGAATCACTCGAACCTGGGAGGCGGAGGTTGCAGTGAGCCTGGATCGTGCCACTGCACTCCAGCCTGGGTGACAGAGGGAGACTCCGTCTCAAATAATAGTAATAATAATCACCCAACCCTAGATCTAGATGAATCTGCCAGACTGCTCTCTGTTTACGTCGGAAGTCTAGTTGCTGGTGTTATTCTTGTGAAAAGAAGTGTGTAGGCGCGGTGACTCACATCTATATGCCCAGATCACTTGAGGTCAGGAGTTTGAGACCAGCCTGGCCAACATGGTGAAACTCTGTCTCTACTAAAAATACAAATAATTAGCTAGGTGTGGTGGCCATAGCCTGTAATCACAGCTGCTCAGGAGGCTGAGGCAGGAGGATCACTTGAACCAGGGAGGCAGAGGTTGCAGTGAGCTGGGATTGTGCGACTGCACTCCAGCCTGGGTGACAGAGTGAGACTCTGTCTCAAAAAAAAAAGTGTTTTCTCCTCAGTCCATCTAATGATATTAGTGCCTAGACCTGGCAGCCAAAGCAACTTGTGCAAGGTTTAGTTAAGAATCTTCACAGGTTAATGAAAGTAACCATCTTAACATCCTCCTGTCCCCATTTTACAGGTGAGAAAACTGTTCCTTAAAGTAAGATTTAAAATTTGCTTCAGAGTTTCAGCTGGGCCAGGCCCGGTGGCTCACGCTTGTAATCCAAGCACTTTGGGAGGCCAAGGAGGGAGGATCACTTGAGATCAGGAGTTCGAGACCAGCCCGACCAACATGGTGAAACCTTGTCTCTACTAAAAGTACAAAATTAGCCAGGTGGGGTGGCACATGCCTGTAATTACAGCTACTCGGGAGGCTAAGGCAGGAGAATTGCTTGAACACGGGAGGCAGAGGTTGCAGTAAGCCAAGATCGCACAATTGCACTCCAGCTTGGGCAACAAGAGTGACACTCCATCTCAAAAAAAAAAAAAAAGAGTTTCAGCTTGGCTGGGCATGGTGGCTCAACCTGTAATCCCAACACTTTGGGAGGCTGAGGTGGGCAGATCACTTGAGCTCAGGAGTTCAAGACCGGCTTGTGTAACATGGAAAAACCTCGTCTATACAGAAAATATAAAAATTATCCAGATGTGGTAGTGCATGCCTTTGGTCCCAGCTTCTGTGAGGGGGAAGCCAGGAGGTGGAGGATATCGTGAGCCAAGATCGTCTGCACTCCAGCCTGGGTGACAGAGCAAGACCATGTCTCAAAAAAAAATGAGTTTTAGTTTGAAGTGAAGAGAAAAGGATAAAGACTCGGAATTCTCAATGAAAATATCTTGCCCTCCACACCCCAAACAAGCAAAATTAGAGAGATGGTTATCAGGGAGCTTGCAAAAGGCCGTGCATTCCACCCACTGCCAAGCAATCTTTCCTGAGAAAACCCACAGGGGCAACATGAGGTGTCCCATTCTTCAACAAACACCCACCCTTGCATTCAGGATTTTGCAAAGCACGTTTGGAAATGCAGACACACAGGCGAATCTCAAATGTGGAAAAGGGAAAAGGGCCGGGAAGGGTGGCTCACACCTATAATCACAACACTTTGGGAGGCCAAGGCGGGTGGATTACCTGAGGTCAGGAGTTCGAAATTAGTCTGACCAACATGGTGAAACCCCGTCTCTACTAAAAATACAAAAAAAAAAAAATAGCCGGGCATGGTGGCGGGCACCCGTAATCCCAGTTACTGGGAAGGCTGAGGCAGGAGGATCACTTGAATCCAGGAGGTGGAGGTTGCAGTGAGCCAAGATTGCACCACTGCACTCCAGCCTGGGAGACAGAGCGAGACTCTGTCTCATAAAAGAAAGAAATTTTAAGAAGTAAAGTAAAATGCAGAAAAGGCCAAGGTTGGATCAGTTGCTGGAAACACTTGAAGACATTCACAAAACAGAATCTCAGTACCTGACGAAGTGAAATATCCCTTCCCTAGGTATTTCTGGTGGAAACTATTTAATGAGTAGATAAATCAAAGGATAGAGTGGAGGGGATTATTAGGTAGAACTGAATGAGCAAGTAAAGGGATGGGGCAGGTGGGCACGAGGGAGTGTGTCCTGCAGTGCTAGCGGATGCAGCTGCGCAGATGAAGTCAAAGCATCTTCTCTTGAGATGCTGTGCCAGGTTCCTCCCGTACATCAGGGAGCAGGGTGTCCGCCCGCTGAGAGCTCAGAGCACAGGGGATCAGACTAGATTAATCCCTTCCTTCAAGGAGCTGGATGAAAATCTAACTAACAAGCTAACGGTGCAATTTTACACCTCTTCGTGGTTTTTTTTTTTTTTTTTCCCAGAGACAGGGTCTCACTCTGTCACCCAAGCTGGAGTACAGTGGCATGATCTTAGCTCACTGCAACCTCCACCTCCCGGGTTCTAAGTGATTCTCCTGCCTCAGCCTTCGGAGTAGCTGCGGTAAGGCCACCGCGCCTGGCTAATTTTTGTGTTTTTAGTGGAGACACGATTTCACCATGTGGGATCAGGCTGGTCTTGAACTCCTGACCTCAGGTGATCTGCCCGCCTCTGCCTCCCAAGTGCTGGGATCACAGGCATGAGCCACTGTGCCAGGCTGACATCTTACTTTTTGATACTTGCAACAGCCCTGTGATATACCACCGTCACCCCCACTTTGCAGACAAAGAGACTGAGTTTCCGCAGGGGAAAGTTATTCCCACAGTTGCCAGCGAGAGGCGGTGCCAGTTGCCAGCGTCAGTGAGAGGCGGTACCAGTTGCCAGCGTCAGTGAGAGGCGGTGCCAGTTGCCAGTGTCAGTGAGAAGCGGTGCCAGTTGCCAGCGTCAGTGAGAGGCAGTGCCAGTTGCCAGTGTCAGTGAGAGGCGGTGCCAGTTGCCAGTGTCAGTGAGAGGCAGCAGCAGACTCAGCACCCGTCTTGTCTTCCCTCTCTCCAAACTCCAGAAACACCCATTGTGTGCCAGGCGATGTTCTTGGTGCTAAGGAAACTGCAGTGAACAGAACAGACCAAAATCCCTGCCTTTGTACTGCTCACATCCTGGTGGGAAAGGCAGGCACCAAACAAGATAGAGACGGAACTACTGAGTGTGTTCAGTGAATGTCTTCGGGTGGTGTCACGCTTAAAGTGTGGGATCTGGGGTTGTGGACTTGAATGCCTTTGCCCTAGTCCTTCCATTATCTGCGTGTTTGAACTCTTTTTTTTCCAGACAGGATCTAGCTCTGTCACCCAGGCTGGAGTACAGTGGGGTGACCTTGGCTGACTACAACCTCCATGTCCTGGGCTCAAGCGATCCTCCCACCTCAGTCTTCTGACTAACTGGGACTACAGGTTCAGGCCACCATGCCTGCATAATTTTTTTTCTTTTGGTAGAGTCTGGGTTTCGCCCTTGTTGCCTAGGCTGGTCTCAAACTCCTGGCCTCAAGCAATCTGCATGCCTCAGCCTCCCAAAGTGCTGGGATTAGAGGCATGAACCACCATGCTTGGCCTGAACATTTTTATAATTAAAAAGTTGAAGGA